CATTCCATAACCAATGGCTGCCTTCTCTCCTCCTAAGCCCACATGCAGCCTAGGAATCATTCTGGAAGCTACTGCACCACCTGGAAGTGACCCTATGAATAAACCTTTCTGCCCCCCCGAGCCAAGCCTTGGGGGATAAAAAAAATGCAAATGGAGATGCATGGGCCGTTAAGCTTGGGGTGGGGCAGGTTGGGGGACAGCAGAGGGAGTGAGTTGCCACAACCAGAGCAACCAGCACCTGATAATGAAGATTTACCTCCAGAAAGGTCAACTTTCAGAAACAATGGTCCCTGACCTGGGGAAAAGTGTTCATGTTAATATTGGGTGACTGGTCATTTTCATTTTCATATCACTCGAGGCCCTGTAGCCCCACACCCTAGTGCCTTTGGGCCAAGGATGACTGTCTTCCAACAGCCTGAGCATTGGCCTCTGGTTTGCTTGGTGGAAGCTTCATGCTGTGTGAACATGGCGGGACCTAGCATTGACCTTGAAAAGCAGGATGCTGTTCTTTGCCGCCTTCTTGCCGGAGTCCAGGATAAATGCAGGCTCCACCTTCTGAGCAGAGGACAGACTGAACTGATTTCCCCGAGGAGCAGGAAGACTTGCTGCCATAAGTCTAGTGGACGCCAGTCCAGGACTGGAAGGAATTGGTCATTCTCTACTATGATCCGTCCAATCTTACAAAGACGATCATTTCTAAGATGAATACAGCCGTAACTGCTGCTTGAAGAGACAAGCAAATCATTAAAAAATAGCAATCTTCTCAATGCCAGAATGCATGATCACAGCAGTGGTACATCCTCGGGGATGCCTCTTTAAGTTCAGATAGGAAAGATTTAGGAACTGCAAGAGTTACAGGATTTGCAAGAGAGCCCTATCCATCTATGTCAGGATGTCAGACCCAAGGGGTGAGCCAGCTGAAAGGCAGAAAGAGGCACAATCCCCAGGAATTAAACCTCCAAGTGCAAATTTTAACTTTAAAATCAGTTTCATTTATACCAAGGGAAATCTGCAAGGAAGTGACATTTTAAAGGTTCCAGTCCTTCAGGGGTAACAAAGACAACATTATGTCCAGCGAGCAGCTGTTCTTTGATGTTTTAAAGGGCAGCAGACAGAGTGCCCAGGTGGAATTAGGGCTGGATTAGGAGGCAGGCGAGTTGAGGGAAGAGGCTGGGAGAAGGCGTTCTACAATTTCAGGCTTTGGTCTGCAGACAGTGCGACACGTGGATGCAGAAAACACTCTCGGGCCCCAGAGAAAGCCAGGGCCATGGCAGCTCTCGGCTATCTCCCCTGCTTGGGAAGATGCATTGCTGGGGAAAAAGAGGAGGGTGTTTTTCCGCATGACTCATCCCCTCCGGTCTGGAGACAAGAGTGGGAATTACTTCATTATTCCAGGATAGAAAGACTTGGAACTTTTATGAGGAGATTCTGCTGTTTCTATCCTCTGCCTGGGAACAGGCAAGACAAAGTGAACCCCAGTGCTGAAGCTCTTGCCGAAGATGGGCCAATCTGGCTGGGGATGGAGGGAGTGTTTGCTGAGGGTCCCTGACTGTCCTCCCTGTGTCCCTGAGGAGGAAAACAGACTCCCCACACAACTGTCTGCTGCCCATTTAAGCAGCTGCTTGGAAATCAAGAGTTTTTACAAGAAAACCCAGACCAGAAAACACAGTTTCAAAACATGTGAGGGGGGCACCTTGTACCTGATAGGTCTGTCTTTCTGCCAAGAGTCGCTTCTACATTGGTAGTAATTAAATGTGTTTATTTCTGTGTCAGCCATTTCAGTTCTGCAGTGGGTTGTTGTCAAGAGATTAGAATGATCTCCATTTCCCATAAAGGCTTCAAGGTAATGACTGTGTTGAAGCCACTGTCATTGAATGCAGTTTTCTGGTGTTGGAGCTTTGCTCTAGGAAAATCTGGTTTGTGCAGATCTCGCCTGGAGAACAACTGCAGCTCTTTTTCAGAGGGAAGTCCCAAGTCAATTGTCCACAAGGCATCTCCTGAAAGAAACAGCGATGGGACACAGATAAGAGGATGGTCTTTCAGAGGGTGCTTTCCCAGAGCTTAAGTGCAGCAGTGTTGAGGGTCCTCAAGGGTCTGCCCCAGCCTTCCTCCTGCCCCTCCCAGCCCCTGCTCTACCCTCTAGACTAGAAGGGCAAGATGCAGCTGCAGGCAGCGTGCTCTGGGGTCACGCCTCCACATCTTTGTCCACACTATTCCTCCTACTGGGAAAGTCACCCTAAATGTCTTCACCTACCAAACTCCTACTCACTCTTCAAGACCCCCTCTCTTCCAGGAAGTGGCTCCTGGCCACTACTAAGTTCCCACCCCGCGTTGGGCTCCTCGATCAGCAGGTAGTCGTCTTCTTTTTTTTTT